ACACACACACAAACATACACACAAACATACACACACACACACACACACAGGCTCTGTGTCTGATTAGGCACCACTATATAAACCAGGGGTCTCACACTGAAACGAGCTGAGGGCTCTGCTGGCACTGTCGTCTCATTGGAGGACACTTTTAAACCATCTAAAGAACCTATTTGAACATTGCACTCAACAACAACATCACTTCAGTCCTCTGATCTAAGGAAACACCACCCGCCGATCAATTCTAGAGGAAAGCATCACCCTTCTTGGACGATCCCCCTGACCTCTGTGTCTGAGGAGAAACTTCTTTTTTCAGTTGGTTTCAAATAATTTTAAACTCATGTTTTTGCTCTATAAGCGCAAATATGATTCCAAAACAGGTCGGGGACCTTTGCAGGTACAGTTGCATTGTGCTTTTAGATTTATTCTGTACTCGGAGGCTCGACTTCACCGTGGGAGGTCTTGTCAAGTCTTACTGACCAAACTGCTTAAAGCACTTTTCCTGTTGCAAACACATCTCTGTGGCCTTCAGCTTGCATTACACATTTAACCTCTACATAGTTTTTGAATATTGTAGTTTTGTCTTCGTTTATGAGTCAGATAGGTGAACTACAGCCTGGACGCTGTCTGAGCCTCCGTCATGGCTTTTTAGTCAGGAGCATTAAAAGCCTGAGCTTTATATGAAGGCATTCACAGTTTACACCCTCCTCCTATTGGGCACTCTGATCGAGTGAAGAACAACATTTTCCACTTAACCAATTAAAAAGGAGAAAGAACCTGCATCAGGTGACCCTGGTCTGTAGGCAGGCCCGTCACTGACATGAGTTCATATTCAAGAACCCGGCTGCTTCACTTGTTGTATCTTCAGGTAAGTAAATGTTATGGGTTTGGTTTTACAGTCCATGGAACAGGGCACCAACTTTAAAGGTGGACTCATCAAACACCGACACATGACAGACTGAGAAACTGCTGAACTCCAGACATGAACAGTGAAACTCCTCAGTAAACAGCTGCACGTGTGTGTCAGTGTGGGAAATCCTCCACACACACGTGGCCTCTGTCACAGTGGGATTTATTGAAATACTGCTCACTACAAGACTGTGTGTGTGTGTGTGTGTGTGTGAGTGTGTGTGTGTGTGTGTGTGCGTGTGTGTGTGTGTGCGTGTGTGTGTGTGTGT